TATTGAACTTAGTATGTAACTGCTGCTCCCTCAAATTCTGTAACACGGCTTTCAAGTGTTCTCTGTGTTCTTCTTCATTTTTAGAATACACCAGAATATCATCTATGAAGATAATCACATACTTATCTAGATACGGTTGAAAAATTATGTTCATCAAGTCCATGAAATAGGTAGGAGCATTGGTCAAACCAAAAGGTATTACATGAAATTAGTATAGCCCATACCGAGTCTGAAAAACAGTAGGCGATATACTTTCCTCTGACACACCTATCTGATGGTAACCCATTCTGATATCAAACTGAGAGAACATGGCTGCTCCCTTTAACTGATCAAACAAGTCATCAATTTTAGGTAGCAGATACATGTTCTTGATAGTCACCTTGTTCAGCTCTCTGTAATCTATGCACATGCGGAGAGTGCCATCTTTCTTGGAAACAAAGATCGCAGGTGCTCCCTTTCTGACGCATCTCTTCTAGCTGCTTCTTCATCTCCACAAGCTCTTTAGGCGCCATTTTGTATGCCGCTTTAAAAATCGGTGCAGTTCCGGACACTACGTCAATGCGAAATTCTACGACCTGTCGAGGTGGAGGTCTAAGTATCTCCTGAAATGTATCCTCAAACTCACACACCACATCTACCTCACTAATATCCTGTTTAGGGATTTCTACCAAGCATAAAAAACTCGTCCTCGCCGACTCTTTTCCATAGCATACCAGGAATATCTATATTTACAGTCTTTCTAGCATAATTTTTAGTCACAAAGTGTTTTCGCAACCAATCCATATCCAAAATAATTACAAACCCCTCAAACCCTAAAACAATTAGGTCCGCATACAACACTCTGCCCGCAAAGTCAATCTCAAAATCTTTACACATCTCATAAAGAGTAACTACCTCTCTTAAAGGGGTTTCAACATTAATAGGTCTAGATAAGGAAGTAGTTACAAAATGTTCTCTTTTTACAAACTATCTAGATATGAAAGAATTAGAGGCACCAGTATCAAAAAGTACTCTAATGGGTTCTTGAAAAAGATTAAAAGTACCTTGCACTTTGTCATTTCCTAGTATCACTGCAAATGCCCTGGCTGGAGCTGCCTGAGCTTGTTGCGCTTGTTGTCTCTGAGGGCAATCCTTGACTACATATCCTAACTGCTGACACCCAAAACACTTCCTATTGATCGGTTGAGGTGCTACTGCCTTGATAGGTGGGGGTCCCTCCAACTGAGGTACGGGAGGATGATAACCCAACTGTGACACTTGCTGCCGCTGTCCTTGATAACCCTAGGGGCACAGACCACTTTGTCTTTCATAATAGTGCCCCTAGGGCTGGAAATTGCCCTAAGGCCTGAAATTATCCTAAGGTTTGAAATTTCCCTGACTACCCTGTTATTGTGGCCTCTGAAACTGCTGACCTCTTAGCCTTTGATCATAGAGTCAATATCTGTTCCCATCACGCTACTGGAAGTGACTCCCTCTAGAAGTCTCTCTAACCTTGGCCTTCCCTTCTTTAAACTGCTTCTCATTTTTCTCATACTTCAGTGCCAAGTCAAGAACTCTGTCAAACGGTTCATTCAGCATCAAAGGGAATAAAGGACTTAGACAGGTAATGATTTAATCCCTTAATAAACTTCTCATTCTTTTTCTCCTGCATGTCAACCAAGTAAGAGGCATAACGAGATAACTCATTAAACTTGGTGACATACTCGATCACTGTTCTAGCCTCTTGGGTCAGCTTTGAAAATTCATCACTCAACTGAGACTGAATAACAGTAAGAACAAACTTCTGGTCAAAACGGGTCTTAAAATCTGCCCAAGTTATCAAATCTAGACCCCTCTTCCACGAGTTCCACAAAAATAGGGTTGCTCTCTCAAATTGATGTGTTGCCAACTCCTGTTTTTGGACCTCGGTGAGCTGCATACGACCAAACACCATCTTACATTTCTGAATCCAAGTGTCAGCTGCAATGCTTCTTCCATCTCTAGAGAATTTCTGACCTCCCAAAGAACCAAAATCTTTGTTTCTCTTCACAAATGGATCTTCTTGCTGATCTTGATTATTGTTTTGCACAACCTGAAATAATTGAGCCATCATCTCCCCCACATTAACCTGCACCGTATTGGTTGCCCCAGTAGCAGCCGCCACTGCCGCCGCCGTCGCCGTCGCTACCGCCGCATTAGCAGTTGTTTTTTCCCTTGTGCCATTGGACTAAGCACTTCCCAAATTATACTTTCCAGCCATTACCTTCAAGTTAAATACACAAAAAAAATTCGTTCATAAATACTTAGAATAAATTCAACCACCAAACTAAACCAGCTAACCCATGTTTTCATAATTCAAGGTTCACCTAAACTCTCACAAGTGTAGAGTAACCTAGAGGTCTAATACCAAATTGTCACACCTCTAGGATTTGGATAATGGAATATTAATTGAGATTTAATCTTAATTTAATATTTAATTATTTAAATTTTAGAGCGTGACACATTGATTACTAATTTTTTATCATGAATTTCAAAGATAGTTGCAAGAGATCATGGTCAGAAGTCGTGGCCAGTAATAGTGATCAATGATGAGATAACCATGGCCAATAATGGTGATCAATGACGAGACAACTAGAGATAGTGGTCGATTAGGAAGGTGGCTGAAAGTAAGAGAGACAATAAATGACAACGGGAGGTGGGGAGTTTAAGAGGTTGTTTGGGATGATCTAAATAAGTGTATTTTTTGATTTTTTATAAAATATGAGTTGGGTTTGGATTGGGTTTGAAGTGATGGATTAGAGAGGTGATGTGACTTAAATAGGATGATATGATTTAAATAAGATAGCAACTTTTTGACTTTTTTTAAATATGCCAAACCAGCCCTAAATGGAAATGAAACCTTATTTTTGAAAACAAGTAAAAAATACTTCTCTTTCTTAATTTCTAAAATTTGAAAACTAATATCATTGCATAAAGTATACAATTCAAAACATAATATTTTTCTTTCCCCCAAATTGCCCTTATCTATTGTCAAAATACACATTTTAGAATTTTATACTTCAAACTTAATAATTGATTATGATTTATTTAACTACATATCCATGCCTCTAATTTTTTAAATTACAACAATTTCCAAACATATTTTTATTTTCAATTTCAAATTTTTAAAAAACAAAGCTATTACCAAACAAGTTCTAAAGTTGAGACCCATCCTTTCACATTTGATAAGCACCACTTAAATATAGCACCACATGTATAGCTGCATCTAACAAGGATCAACATCCTCTTAGCTTTTTATATTCATAAAGAAAACATTATATTCTCTGTTTTATCTTCCATTTGAAATTAGATAGAGGCTATTAGGTCATTGAAAGAGACATGTCTACTTAAAAGACAGTCTTGAATTTCAAAGCTATACTTTAGAGAAGGTTACGTGATGACAATGTGAAGGTAGTGTTTTCGTTTTGGTAATAGCTAAACTTCTTGTTCTTCCTACTATGTAATAAACTAAAAATATTAATAATAATCAAAATAAAAAAAGGGAAAATACCAAACTAGGCTTTAACTTTTGTAAAAGGTGACAACTAAAATTAATCATCGGGACTAGTTTATTTGGTTGTGTCCCAATAGGAGATCAATAGTTTTGATTTAACAAGTAATTTTCATTTTTAAGCAAAATATTTATAACTTATATATTTTGAATCGAAAAATAGAAATTGATGCTCAGATTCTCCTAATATCCTCAACTAATCACACTTCACTTTGCTACCACTATCAATATTTATCTTATTCAAAGATAGTTTATTCTAGGATTGTGAAAGTAAGCCATTCATACTCATTTTCAGACTCGAGTGATATTACACATCTACAAAAATATCTCAAAAATAATATGTGTAGACTAGAATATAAATAATAAATAGTAATTGACTTACATAGGACTAATTTTTAGGATATACTAATGACAATCTTATAAATTGTTGATATGACAAATAAAATATCAAAATATTTAAAATTTTAAAATACTTTTTCAAACGTTCTTACATATATATTTCACATGTTTTATATATTTATAGATTTTAAATACATTTTTTACGCATAAATTGAGAATAACAACCTTTCCTTGAATTGTCATTCTAGACTAATTTGACAATGTTTTCAATTAATGTAATCTATAAACATCTCCGCATATCTAATATGAATGCGTATAAATGAAATGAGATGATTAGATTATGTCATAATTTATTTGACAGTACTGATATATAAATTACGTTTATATGCAATGGTTTTATACATAATTACTTGACTAACACTATTTTCATTTCATATCAAAACACATACCGTCCATTATTTTTAAAATATTTTTATTTCATATCAAAACACCTCCCGCCCATAATTTTAAAATTTCAAAATTCATAGTGTGAATCACTCTAGCGGTGTTTCAGTTACAATCCAATATGTTCAAAATTACTATTTAAAGCTCATCTTTGCTTAACAAAAAAATTAAGAGAAACGATCAATCCTAACAATTATTTTTGAGCGTGATCAAAGAAGCTTTGTTCCCTTCCTGAAAAGTTAGACAATAGAAGTTTAGACTGTCAAACAATTTCTTATTGAGTTGTAATTCGAATTACAATCTAATGTGTTCTTATAACAATTAAGATTGCATTGCATAGGTATGTAATATAAATCGTCTTTTCAAACATAATTTGGTCTTCGCATAAAAATGTATTTATGTACTCTTTTTTGTAATTTCTACAAATTTCAAATCCGCTTGGCAAGAAATGATATAACAAAAAAAATATCCATATTGAGATAGATTTTTTTTTTCCCCAAAAAAACCCCCTCTTGATGAATTTCAGGTTTTCCAATTTGATCTCACACTCAAATGTTTTTCTCTGTGATTTTCTTTTTCCTTGAAGAGAAAATTGTTTTACCAGGTCAATCTGGGGCCGCCGATAGAATTCCTATAATACGACACCGTTTCAAACTCACCAAACACAGTACGCCGTCGCGTTTACCTTTTTGTTCAATTGTAACGTTAATGTCATCTTCTCTTTAGGAGTCTTCTCCCCGCCTCTCTCTTCTCTCTCTCTCTCTCTCTCGTCTTCATCGTCCTCTTCTTCTTCTTCTCTCTCTGCTTCCTCTGCAAATCCCAAGCGTTGACTCACAAATCATCACAAAGTTGTGAGTTTAAATCTTCATCACTGACCGACAACGAACTCACCTCTACTCACAAGTTCAAGATCTGTTCACTTCAACCCTCAATTTCACTGATCCAAGGTCAGATCTCATCCCCCCACACAGTATTTCTGGGCCGCCGATAGAATTCCTATAATACGACACCGTTTCAAACTCACCAAACACAGTACGCCGTCGCGTTTACCTTTTTGTTCAATTGTAACGTTAATGTCATCTTCTCTTTAGGAGTCTTCTCCCCGCCTCTCTCTTCTCTCTCTCTCTCTCTCTCGTCTTCATCGTCCTCTTCTTCTTCTTCTCTCTCTGCTTCCTCTGCAAATCCCAAGCGTTGACTCACAAATCATCACAAAGTTGTGAGTTTAAATCTTCATCACTGACCGACAACGAACTCACATCTACTCACAAGTTCAAGATCTGTTCACTTCAACCCTCAATTTCACTGATCCAAGGTCAGATCTCATCCCTACACACAGTATTTCTCTGTTTGATTTCACTATTTTTAACGGGTCTTTTTAGTTTTAACGGTTAATTATACTGTTCACTTTAACTAAAATTAGGGTTTTGAATTTTCATTTGATTGTTGCTGCAGATCTAGTTGAATTTAAGGGGGTTTAATCACTTTTTTGCCCAAAATTGATTCCCTAAGATGTCAGAGCTGTCGAAAAACGATTCGATTCATATCCGAGAGGTATGGAACGACAATCTCGAAGAAGAGTTCGCTTTGATTCGAGAAATTGTCGATGAATATTCCTATGTTGCGATGGATACGGAGTTTCCGGGGGTTGTTCTTCGGCCGGTGGGGACTTTCAAGAACATCAATGACTATAACTATCAGACTTTGAAGGACAATGTTGATATGTTGAAGTTGATTCAGTTGGGTCTCACGTTTTCGGATGAAAATGGGAACTTGCCTACTTGTGGGACTGATAGACACTGCATTTGGCAGTTCAATTTTCGCGAATTTAACGTCAGTGAAGATATCTTCGCTAATGATTCAATTGAGTTGCTGATGCAATGTGGTATTGATTTCAAGAAGAATAATGAGATGGGTATTGATGCGAATCGGTTTGGCGAGCTCTTGATGTCTTCGGGGATCGTGTTGAATGATGGTGTGCATTGGGTGACCTTTCACAGTGGGTATGATTTTGGGTATTTGCTCAAGTTGTTGACTTGCACAGCTTTACCTGATATGCAAGCTGGGTTCTTTGATTTGATCAATATGTATTTCCCCATGGTGTATGATATCAAGCACTTGATGAAGTTTTGTAACAGCCTTCATGGTGGGTTGAACAAGCTTGCTGAGCTTTTGGAGGTCGAGAGGATTGGTATTTGCCATCAAGCAGGTTCGGATAGTTTACTTACTTCTTGTGCATTTAAGAAGTTGAAAGACAACTTTTTTAATGGCTCCACAGAGAAATATGCTGGTGTTCTGTATGGTCTTGGTGTCGAGAATGGCTCTGATAAATAAATGTTTGGCAAACAATTGAATGTTTGGTTGTCCAGTTAGGCATGGTTGGCAAAAAATGAATGCTTGTATGATCAGTTAGGCATGAAACTCCCATTTCCATCTGTACACAAATGGGAAAAAGTTGTTGCTTTTCCTTTGTTGCTTTTTCTTTTTTCTGAGCTTATGTGTAACTCAACCCGCAATGGGTGTTGTAGCTTGAGTACTGTAAAGTTATCACATTTACTGTTTCAATAACAATCTTAACATTTTAGCAACTTCTTCTTGTGCTAATTTTTTCGTCATATTGTTTTAAGTGCTTCAGTGTTTAATCATGGCATGCATTTATATGATCTACCTAGATATATATATATTTTGGTATCATAATGCACGTGAAGTAGATGTGTAGATGAATTTTTTTATTTTGAAGGGTGTATATTTTTGTAGTGTAGATTGAGTGGGTAAATATTCACTTTGTTAATAAGATTATCTTGAGATTGATTCACATCCCCTTGCCTGTTCTACGTATAGGTTGAGTGGGTAATGAACAATGATCTGTTAAGTTATTGAAGATGTGTGATTTTTATATTATTGTGGATTTACCCTACTTGCAGAAGATTGTGTTTGCTGTCCTTCATGCTTGCTGTTTTGATTCTTGTGGAAGGATTCTGTAGAACACTTGGGGCATGTCAGTCTGAATAGTGTGGGATTTGAGGATAATTATAATTGTAACTAGAAACTATACAAACAGTAACTTCAAGAATCTTACTTCGAAGCAACTTTGGAGTTTTCCCTTACCAAACAGGTCTTGCAAGAAAATAGGATTTCATATTTAGCTCCAGATATAAGCTATTGGGGGCTTGTTGGGTTTTGATGCTTACCTTAGTCTTCATTTCTTCCTTTTTAACGGGCAAATTACAAATATACCTCCTAAGTAATTACAATGCACCCGTCATTTTAACATAGTAACAAAAATACATTTACCTAATTACCCTCATACACCAAAGGAAAATTACATATCTGCCGTCATCTCCTTCTTCCCTCTTCAAGTACTCCCTCTTCTTGGCGTTCATGGGCAAATCCCACATCTAGCACAAAACCCTCTAAAGCCAAGAAATCAAGCACAAAACCACCCCACTCTTCCTCTACCACCAAATCAAGGCCACTGATTTGAGGTCACAAGGGAAAGTGATCAAGCCCAACTGATTTGATGTCAAGAGGGAAAGCGAAAACTGAAATTGGCCTCAGCTCGTGTAAACTCAGCGTCAGACAAGCCGGGCTAGACTTGGATTCTAGAGTTCTTCAGGTACCTTATCGGTGAGAGAAGGGAAGGAGAGGAGGCCGTTTCAAATGGGAAGCGGTGTAGATGGTGTAGGCGGCAGAGGTTGGCTATATGTGGGGTGTGCTGACATCATCAGAATTTGTTAGGTCAATTAGTAGTGGGTTAAACTTTTTGTCAAATATGAAGCATAGGGCTTGTTTGATATCGTTTTTATTTTTGATTTTTTCGGAAACAAAAACAATGAAAAGTTTGAATACTCCAATTATTTACTTATTCTTTTCATTTTTGTGTGAAAACAATTTTTGAAATCCAAAACACAACTTGTAAGTGTTTACTAGAAAATGGGGTGTTTACAAAAACATTTCCGAAAGCAATTTACCAAGCTAGTTTTCCTTTCCATTTCCATTTTTTTTCCAGGAACTAAAACAATAAATGAAAATGATACGAAATGTGCCCTTATATTCTTTACAAATTTAGCTATTGTATTGTGAAATTCTTTAAGACTATCAGAATCACTCGTGCGTTGTGCCCCTTATATTCTTTACAAATTTAGCTATTGTATTTTGAAATTCCTTAAGCTTTTCTCTTGGGCCATCAGAAACACTTTTGCGGTGGCTCATGTATTTGGTGGCAGTGGTATAAATTCAGTTGTGGGGATTCAAGATCAGGTTAGATGAATTTATTGCATTGATATATAGTCTTTGTGAAGAAGTCTTATTCCCAGTAAGTTTTATAACAATTAATTATCTACCTTTTATATGCTAACCAGATTTTGCATACATGTTTCAAATCTTGCAAAGCTTGCAAACTGTGTGGAACTTCAGAGGTTCACCACATCTGTATTGGAATGCTACAGAGATTAATACTTGCGGTCTGTGTTGGTAAGATTATTTCCAAATTTATTGTTTTGTTTTTATTTTTTTTAACTATGCTAAAAGAGATTATACTTGGTGACTTAGATGCCTCAATGATTAATTTTCTTCTTGTGTCAAGTTATTCTATGACCGCATGATGTGTATGAGTTATCATGTTGAGTTAATTAATTTTCTTCTCCCTCTCTCCTGTTCTCCTTTCATCTCTATTCTTCTCCTCCTCTCTACTCTTCTTCTTTCCTTCCACTTTGATGTGCCATCGTCAATCCACTTTTTGATGAATATCATAGTTTTTTCTAGGCTTAACACACTTGAAAATTGGTTGACTTTAATAGAGTCTAGTAGACTAAAATGTTTAAATTGTCAGCATCACTGTACGAATGCAACTAAAATAAATGGCATAGCAGTTTTGAGCAGAAAGTTTAATTCAAGCACATAAACCTGAAAACTCAAGAGCCAACTAGGGACAAGGTCACCACAGGGTATTTGCTTTAGATTGACAGGACTTGATAAGCTCCTGGACTAACCAAGAAGATGGGCGACATTTAACTTATATTACTAAAACTAACTTGTTTTTTGCTTGAAAGTAACAGTGCTGTGAACGGAGATGAAAATGATTCGATTATATTAAACAAAGCCTCTCATCAACAGAAATCTTCATTCCATTTAGTTCCATGATGGCATGGCATGCTGCAATTTACAGCCTTGAAATGGCCTGATCATCACATGCATTAGTTGACTAGCGGGCTCCTTCACTGGCAGTAACATACAATAAAGTGCCTTTTCCAGTTTCTCTTTCTTCCCTCTCCTCTATTTCCAAGACCATTTGAACTACATCTTTACTAATGTAAACATGCAAGTTGCAAATTATATTTTATTTTTGTTGATATTTCTTCACTGGCAGTAACATACAGTTAACTGCCTTTTCCAGTTTCTCCTTCTTCCCTCTTCTTTTTTTAAGACCATTTGAACCACATCTTCACTTATGTAAACATGCAAGTTGCACAGGGTTTTTTTTGTTGTTTTTATTTCTTCTACATTCTGCAGATGATTAATCTCTCTTTTCTCTTTCCTTGATCTTTGGCAAATGATTCGGGTACATGGCCAAGTAAATGTTTTATTGTAAAGATGATGGGGATTGGAGATGACAATTTTCAAAAGCAGGAGATGTGAGTACACAGTTTGCTTTCAGTGGGCAGCAAACGTCAATGGGTGGAAGTGTGTGTTGGTTCTTACATTGCTGGGTACTTCAAACCTTCTTGTCTGTTTTCCCTTATTGAGACACATGGGTTACAACCACATAAAAAATCCTCTCAGCTTTTGAGTGATTTTATTTTGGATTTTGTTGTTTAACTATCTATATTAATTATCTGATGTCAACTGCAAGCTTGAAATAATTAATGTTGACGTCCTCATTCGTTTTGGCTTAGCGAGAGTTCCTCGGTTTTGATTCAATAGCTTAATGATTTCTTAGGGATATGAGCATTCAGTATATAGTGTGCCAGTATAAGCTCGTGTTGGGTGATGGTTGTGAATATGTGTGGATATCTCCTAGATTGCCATGTGTTGTGTACACATGGATTGAATGATGACATGTGATTTATGCTTTGGCTCAAGACCCCACATGTGTTAGCCCTCTGAAAACACATGTCAGGGTGATGTCTTTGGACTTCAAACTAAATGACACTGGAGGAATCTAGCATAGTTACGCACCTAAATTAATCCCTTGACATGATCATCCCCATGCCAATTCTGGATTAACACTCTCTTGTTTGACTATGGTCCCTCTCTACATTCTTTACAGCCCTTATCTTTAGACTTGTCACTTACTTGTTGGGAAAAGAGAAAAAAACCTTGTTCAATTTAATGAATGTTGTGTGGTTTTTGCAGGAAATTGCAACCCCGTGATTGGGAGGAAAAATACATGCTTTACAGCGGACACTACAGGAGTTATTAAGAGTGGATACTGTGGTTCTTCCACATTTTTTTAAATCGGCGAAATTTATTTGTTAGTTGCTAGATTAGTTCTTGGGGGGTTTGAACCCGCAACCTCTCCCTTGTGAGCACTTAAGCGCTACCTCCATGCCATTAGGCCACAAGTCCTCTGGTTCTTCCACATGTAAATATTTCCTTAAATCTGATACATATATGTCAATGCAGTACATTCACTCACCAACATACATAGTCCTGTTTTGATGTCTATTACTTTTGCCTGTTGATTTGTATGCAAACCCATGTGTTTCAAAATGATTACCATGCCCATTTTCATAGATCATTGCTTGATTTTGTATATTCTACCTATTGCATAGCTGTCTTTGTAGTCATTCAATGAAGAAGTAGCAATGAAGATCTTGCAGCAAATCGTAGAGATAAAAGAAATTGATTAATTTCTGTGAATTGGGCAGAGAAATTTCTTATTCAGCAAGCCCTGCACTCTCTTTATTTCACTGAGAAACCCCACACGCATACTAAGCTCATGATGGAGAAATTTTCTTGAATATTCTGATTCAATGACCATGAGATTATTATATCCACTGTCGATGCAAGAGTGCTTTGGTGTGCTTTTCTCAGCTAATTGTATTTTATTTGTGGTGAAAAGTTATTGTGCTTCCTGAGCCCTACATCGCCACCTAGCTTGAATTATTTTCTTGTTTATTGTTGAATCGCTGTTTCTTTCAACTTTCTATCATTCTAGTTAATTTGATGGATTTGGCTGTTCCAATGAGCCTACAAATGTCGTTCTAATTGATAGCTTTAAGAATCTTTTAGTACATATACCAGCTGTTGATTTGGTGGAATTGATTCGTTGAAACATGTATAGCAAAAAGTCGGATCTTGCTTGTCAACTTTGAATCGTTGCTTAGTACTTACAGACGATAAATATTATATATGTTGTCAAATAAGTACATTTGATCTAATAGAATGATTTTTTCTAGACTAATACCAATCCGGATCGTGCCCTTCAAGTTGCACATTACTTGTATCATGGCATGATGTGTCTTTGCAGTTGATACCTGAACCAGATGTTACAGGTGAGTGGAGTCAATTTTCACAATTTGGGATATTAAAACTGTTGGTGGAGGCTCGGTTTCATTACTTTAAGCCATGCTTTTTGGTATGCAAATTTCGGGCTCATATTAGTCTTTTGTCATAGGAATTCAGCGTATATTTCTCTTTTCTTGAAGTTTTATTTTTTATTCAAAATTTCCACAATTTTGTCAATTTCCCAAAGTTTCCACCTTTTTTCTGAATCCTTTTTTTAATGAGCTGCTATTCAAAATTGTATTTAAGATGTTAAGGTTTTTAAACTCATCATGCTGTTTGGCAACACCTAAAAAGGCCACATTTTTTTCGTACTTTTTTGTCTTTAATAATATATATATATTTTTAAATTTGTATCATTTCCTTTTTCCTTTTTCTTTTTGAGGCCTTCTAGTCTTGAAAGAGTTAGGTTTTTTTCATTTTTTTGTTATATATATATATATAATTTTTGGAATCCTCCAACCAAGCTGGTTATGTTTTGCTAGTTGGTAAACAACTCACCTTCCTTTGTCCTTTTCATTGTTGTTGCAGAACTCCCCAGAATTTTGCCCTTCCTAGTCAAGCAAGTCTCCTTCGTTTCTCTCTCTTTTTTTTTTTTAGGTGAAATGATTTGAGAGAGAGCTTTGAGGTCACTCTCATACTTTACATGAGTAGGTCATTAATCACTGCCTCAATCTTGCCCACTGGACAATTCAATTTCTTATTCACAATTTCCCAGTAATAATAATAATGACAAAACTATTACACAAAAACAAATTGTGAAATGAAAATATAAGCACACATTATGAGATTGACAAACATGTGAATGTCCTTGTCCATTCTTTTGTTTGTTTCTTTTATTGGTTTCTTGTAATAATAATAATAATAATAATAATAATATGAAGAGAGGAGTGTTATTCAAACTCTTTCCTTTTATGAATACATTTTATATGTCGTCTTGGAAAATGTTAAATCACAATAATTTTTCGGCAATGATTGGTGGCCACAAATTCTGTGACTCAAATGGTCCGAAAATGTCAAACGAGTTTTGGATACAAAACAATTCTGAAAATGCCAAAACGACGTCGTTTTGGCATTTTCGGGCCATTTGAACCACATAATTTGTGGTCACCAAATATTTTCCATAATTTTTATATAAAATTTATCTCCAGAATAATCTGACTACTAGTGATATATTTGTAAATTATAATTACAATAATAGGTATTACATTTTTAAATGAAGACATCCCTCCGGAGGATTTAGCTAAAATTATGAAAAAGTTGATACTAAAAAAATTAATTGATTTAGTAAATTTTAAAATTTTTAATGAATTTTTAGCATAAACACTTTTGCTTAATTTGAACATTTTATTGAAAATAAATTTAATAAGTTCAAAAAAAAATTAACGTTGTTGTACTTTCTAGTCATGACTAATTGAAAGTTTTTTTTTTTTTTTTTTTGGAGTTAGTTATACGATAAGGTGTTAGGAGTTAATAAATTAAATTATAATGAAAGGGTCAGAGCTCGAATTTTGGACTAAACCAATTATTCTATTTGACACAATAAAGTTGAAGACGTTATTATTTTGTATAACTTTTTTATTTGTATATATTAACATTCAACTTTAGTATAAAAATAGTATAATTTGTAATGCATAGGAAGTGTAATTATTAAAAAAATTAAACATCAATCATAGGGGTATCTTCAAAAAAAAAAAGTTGACATCAAAATATGAATAGACAAACAAACTTGCCCCAGATATGCATATCCTAGTACAAGTCTCCCCAAATCCCTTCTCTGGCCCACTCAAAAACCATGAAACTACAAAACACCCTGTGCTCAACGACCAACTACGAGTTCCGAACTCAGCTTTTCCGACTCACCCCACTCTCTCTCTCTCTCCTCACACACCCCTCTCCGCCGGCGATCACAGAGCTCCCTCCGGCGACCTCAGGTACTTTCTCTCTCTACAAACCCTTCAAACATCACAAAAACTACAAAAAATCACCACCATTTCCGGGTCCAAGTCCACCTCAGATCCGTTAACTCGGATCTTCACATTGCCATGGCAAGAGCTTCCCAACTCTTTCTGGGTTTTCTCTTCCATTGGGTTCTCCTCTCCTATTCGGATCCAACCCCGAGTTGTCCCAAAACCAACAATGCTTCTCTGCTCAATTTCGAGTCAGAGTTCGCAATGCTTCAACACCAGTTGAGAGGGGTGTTTGATTTGATCGATGATTGCTCATTTAGGGTCAGTGAATTTGATATGCTTCAAGGGTCCAATGTGCGTTGGTGGGGTGCTATTGGTGAAGATTTCGACAATTTAACGAGTGGGTTTGTGATATCTGATATGAAACTGAACAAAACTTATCAAAATGATAGCTTTGTTGTGAATTTGATGAAGAATGTGACTTGGGATGAGATCAGAGTCGTCGCGGTTTGGGAAATATCAACCGCGTCAGACTTTGGGCATGTTGTGTTGAGAAATTTGAGTAATGGGTCGGAGAATTCTGCCCCATCGCCTTCGCCATCGGTTGGTGGGGGCAACTTGAGTGTTTGGGTTCATGAGAAGCCAACAATGTTTGAGAATTGTAAGGCATTGTTGCCAAATTATAGGGTTAGATGGACATTGAAGGTGGAGGAGGGTGTGATTGATATTGGGTTGGAGGCTGCAACAGGGATTCTGAATTATATGGCATTTGGATGGGCAGATCCTAGTTCGTCGTCCAATCCTATGCTTGGTGCCGATGTAACAGTGACAGGGTTGAAGGAGGATGGTATGCCATTTGCTGATGATTTTTTCATTACCAAGTATGTTGAGTGTACAAAAGACAAGAATGGTAGTGTTCAAGGTGTGTGTCCCGACATAATTTATGAAGGAACAGGCAATGATACTTCGCTGAACAACACGCGGTTGGTTTACGGGCATAGGAAAGATGGGGTGTCATTTATCCGGTTTCAAAGGCCATTGAAATCAGAAGATAAAAAGTATGATTTGCCTGTGAATCATATGGATAACATGACTGTGATTTGGGCTATTGGTTTGATTCAACCGCCCGATAGTCTTCACCCTTACTATCTTCCCCAAAATCATGGTGGGACTTTTGGGCACTTGATGCTCAATGTTTCAGAGCATGTGAATGATTGCTTGGGACCATTAGATGCAGAAGACAAGGAGGACCAAGATATCATCATTGCAGATGGAACTGCACCGCTTGTTGTTTCCACAGGCCCTGCTTTACATTACCCAAATCCACCGAATCCTACAAAAGTTTTTTACATCAACAAAAAAGAGGCCCCTCTCTTGAGGGTAGAAAGGGGGGTTCCAGTGAAGTTCTCGATACAAGCTGGTCATGATGTTTCACTGTATGTTACTTCTGACCCACTTGGAGGGAATGCAACACTAAGAAATATGTCTGAGACTATTTATGCTGGAGGGCCAAAAGCTGAAGGAGTCCAAGCCAGTCCGATGGAATTAGTTTGGGAACCTGACCGAAGCACCCCAGATGAAGTTTACTACCAGTCAGTGTTTACACAGAAAATGGGTTGGAAAGTTCAAGTTGTTGATGGTGGTTTGGCAGATATGTATAACAGCAGCGTCTTCTTGGATGATCAGCAAGTTACTTTATTTTGGACATTATCAGAATATTCGATAGCTTTTGCAGTTCGTGGTGAGAAAAAAAGTGGTTACCTTGCAATAGGCTTTGGTAGTGGAATGGTAAATAGCTTCGCCTATGTGGGTTGGGCTGAAGATAATGGAAAAGGGCAGATTAAGACCTATTGGATTGATGGAAAGGAAGCCTCAAGTATACATATGACAAATGAGAATCTGACCCACGTAAGGTGTAAGTCAGAAAACGGAATAATCACTTTGGAGTTCACTCGCCCGTTGACTCCATCATGCAGTGATAGTGAGAGGCCAGAATGTAAAAACATAATTGATCCTACAACCGCTCTGAAAGTTGTCTGGGCCATGGGTGCTCGATGGTCTCAAGTCAATTTAAGTGAGGCAAATATGCATTCTGCAACAAGTACCAGGCCAGTTCGGGTGCTTCTTAGACGTGGTTCTGCAGAGGCAGAGGAGGATTTACGGCCTGTATTAGCTGTACATGGGTTCATGATGTTTCTTGCTTGGGGAATTTTGTTCCCAGCTGGAATATTATCAGCTCGGTACTTAAAACATGTTAAGGGTGATGGATGGTACCAGCTTCATGTTTACTTGCAGTATTCAGGATTAACAATTGTCTTGCTTGGCTTTCTTTTCGCTGTAGCTGAGCTTCAGGGTCTCCATTTTGATTCGCTTCATTTTAAGTTTGGAATGGCCGCTATATCTTTGGCTTGTGCACAACCCGTGAATGCATATCTCAGACCTAAAAGGCCTGCAAATGGGGAAGAGATTGCCTCAAACAGGCTTATTTGGGAGTATATTCATGTTGTTGTCGGCAGATCTACCATTGTTGTTGGCGTTGCAGCTCTTATTAGTGGAATGATGCATTTAAGAGATAAATATGGTGACCAAAATGTTCACGGACTCAACTGGATTTTGATAGTTTGGTTCTTCATCGGTGCTCTGACAGTTGTGTATTTAGAGTATCGCGAGAAAAAGAGAAAAAGGGATAGAATTTTTGGAGGAAGCAATTGGGTTTTGGGGAACACTGAGGAGGATGATACAGATCTCTTGAGCCCAATGCGGGCATTTTCACAAAAAGAGTTAGATATATCTGAAAGAATGGAAATTCAGCTAGAACCTATAAGCAGATAGAGAGAGATCTTTGTTCAATTTTTTTATTTTATTTTATTTTATAGAATTTCTGATGTTGGACATCATTTTTGAATTTTCTTACTTCAGGAGAGAGCAAGCTTGTTTTATCTGCTTGGAAAGGTTCTTGGGTGTTGACGGTTGAGCTTCACATGCCAATCACTATATTTGTCCTATGACATGAATTATTTGTATACAGTATATTGGACACATTTATTTTCACCACTCTTTTGTAATTTTACATCTAAAGTTTTTGTTGATTCAATGAGAAAGATGAGTTAAATTTGAAAATTATTTAAATATGCATCACTAAGGTCATCACTAAGGTCAATTTTGTTATTCCCAGAGTGGATGTGTGTATGTGTAAATAAATGCATAAATAAAACAAACAACAAAATAAATTAAATAATTCAGAAATTAACTTCACGAATTAAATGCTTACAGAAATTTTAAATATCAAGATTTGTGTTAAACACAATCTCCTTAAAGTAGATGTCGCCCTCGCTCAATACTTCGAGTTTTAACGGCGTCTACTTCTTAGGATGCAACAACTACTACTACTTGATTTACAGCATTACAAAATCAAACATTGTGAACCAAACTATGTTGTAACTCTTTCTCTTTCTTTTCCTAGAAACTAAATGTTAAACAAATGTAGGAGCACAGGAGGACGAACAGAAGAAGAAAGGGAAGAGTTTTGGAAAAAATTTCGATGCCAAGAAATGCTGGAATGGCAAGGTATAAATAGGAGGACATGTGGCTTTCCGAACAGGTGCCAACAGATAGGTAACTGTTCGGACAGATTTAATAAAAGAAAAAACTTGTTTGGACAGATATAGATCTGCCCGGTTTGAATTCAATAGGTATGAACCTGTTTTGAACCTATTCGGGTGGGTAAATCTGTTTGGGTGAAGGGAAAAAAAAAACTTGACCAAGTTATTTTAAGTTTTGAAACCAAAATTAAAAATGAATAAATAAATTACAAATGTTTTTCGCCCAAAAAGATAAGTATTGGGTCGGATAAGCCCAACCTAACCTCGCATTCGTGCCTAGCCCACCCAATCAGATAGATGGCGGCGTGCGTTTATTGTTTTGGGTCCAATGGGTCTAGCCCACTTTACCCATAACCTCACCATTCTACAAACTTGGGTACCCCTTGGGGCCCATCTCAAGTATCCCAAGTTAGAATATATATACCCATATAAATCCTTAAGTTTTTCCAAAGTGGGACAAGCACATTTCATAAATGTGTAGGAAACCCACCTAAAGCAATATCCACGAACCTAAAAATGCGTGTTGAATTCTCATTCATCCGAAAATGTTTTTGAGCAACCAAATACACGATATTATTTACTACGCGGCATTAAACACGAACCTAATTAGTAACGTTAAAAATAACACTTGAATTCCACCTTAATTAATGTTCAAAATTAACAAAAAATAAGATTTTATAAAAGCCATTTTCCAACAAATTTTACATCAACTCTTTTGTATTGTTTGATGAATGAGGAAAATGGAATTCACTTTACCCCAAAAAAAAAAAAAAAAAAAAAAAAAAAACACAAACGCCACACATAGACTAATGTTTTTCATCGAATGTGCAACTACAATCACGTAATTCCTTATTGATGTATTAACGTTTTACATTCAACTTACCATTAATGGCCAACATTTTGGTAGCTACCACAATCACATTTCACTTTCTTCAATTGAACTTTAGATGCAAGTAATTGCGATGTTGTAGTTGCTAAAATGTTGGCCAAGAATGACACGTGCACTTCATACGCATAGCAGTATTGTCATGACCCAAACCCACCCCTATAAGTTAGGATCATAACTGGCAAGTAATCATGAGATTACCTACGGCCTCAAACAGAAATCCATTAACAAGCAATAATATGGGGCCAGATACAGAAGCAGAATTTTAATTTTGTCCAATGAGCTGCGCATACATGGCATAACAAAAACTCCTCTCATGTATATAGCAACTCACACTAGATAGTTATTTTGAATATATATACATACGTCCAAGATCATTCAAAGATAGTCGTAACAAAAACCAAGGTTATATACAAACTTGGTCGCAGATGACCACAAAAGAAAGCAAAAGGAAAATCAAAAGTAAAGCCTCTTGCATGAGGCGACCCTGGTTAACTCCACATAAGCTTGGTTCTCTCACAAGATCACTAGGGCTGGGGCTAGACATCCTGCTGCTCACCTACATACATATAGATAAAGAGTGAGCTAACGCCTAGTGAATAATACTAGAGTAAAGAGGTTATAAGAATGAGACCCTCAAATAGGTAAATCATACACATGAGTAACACATATTGATCATTATCAAAACAGAACGACCTCAGATCCATTCTTTATGCTCAAGGCATATCAAAGGGGCAAAACGACCCTAGGTCCAAGCATTTTTCATAGCTGGTCGTAACATATGTACTAAACGACCTCAGGTCCAACATTTCCATATTCTTGTTCATGCGCACATTCAAATTCAAGATCATATTCACATTTATTGGATCCATACACAAATGACCATCTAGTCCTTCACGTCACATGTACAAAATTACCTTAGGTCCATCATTTCCAAATTCATATTCACACAGGCGTTTATAATCATGATCATGTTTACATTCATATTCACATTCAAAACGACCTTCAGTCCAATCAATTCCTTATTCAAAATGACCTTTAGTCCATAGTCCTGATCATGTTCACATCCATATTCATATTCAAAACGACCTTTGGTCCAATCAATTCTTCATTCAAAATTCTTTATTCAAAATGACCTTTAGTCCATAGTCCTGATCATGTTCACATCCATATTCATATTCAAAACGACCTTTGGTCCAATCAATTCTTCATTCAAAATTCTTTATTCAAAATGACCTTTAGTCCATAGTCCTGATCATGTTCACATCCATATTCATATTCAAAACGACCTTTGGTCCAATCAATTCTTCATTCAAAATTCTTTATTCAAAATGACCTTTAGTCCATAGTCCTGATCATGTTCACATCCATATTCATATTCAAAACGACCTTTGGTCCAATCAATTCTTCATTCAAAATTCTTTATTCAAAATGACCTTTAGTCCATAGTCCTGATCATGTTCACATCCATATTCATATTCAAAACGACCTTTGGTCCAATCAATTCTTCATTCAAAATTCTTTATTCAAAATGACCTTTAGTCCATAGTCCTGATCATGTTCACATCCATATTCATATTCAAAACGACCTTTGGTCCAATCAATTCTTCATTCAAAATTCTTTATTCAAAATGACCTTTAGTCCATAGTCCTGATCATGTTCACATCCATATTCATATTCAAAACGACCTTTGGTCCAATCAATTCTTCATTCAAAATTCTTTATTCAAAATGACCTTTAGTCCATAGTCCTGATCATGTTCACATCCATATTCATATTCAAAACGACCTTTGGTCCAATCAATTCTTCATTCAAAATTCTTTATTCAAAATGACCTTTAGTCCATTTAATAATAATACAAAACGACCTTCGGTTCAATTCATATGTAAGATGACCTTAGGTTCATCTTGTCAAACATTCTAAATGACCTTAGGCCCATTCCGTGTCCTTGTCAAATATACCAAATGGCCTTGGGCCCATTTCATATTCATGAGTCTTTTTTCGAATTAGACAGGTAGAATACTTATTCATAATACAAATTCAAGAGTTCGGAAAACTTACCACATAGGTAGTATTTAGAAAATAACATATATGAAAATATCTTTACTAAGATATTACTCACAGTGTTCAATTGGCGAATTCGTCATCAAAGTTGACCCTACACAATTCGTAACACATACAAAAATTGGGTCACAATACAATTCAATCCGTTCTCAAATTCATTTATCTTTCTTAGGCTTCTTTCTAACTCTTTAGTTCCTTTAGGAAGCTCAGTGTGTGCCCAAGAATGCTTATAAATGAAAAAAAAAATGGAAATCGAAACATAAAACAACTTTTCAAAGTTTCCTGAAATAGGGTACTTCGCCCAAGCGCAACATTGGTCGCTCGAGCGAACCCCTCAGTCTGCAAAAATATTGGATGCTCTCTTTTTACGCTCGAGCCAACTTTTTAGTCACTTGAGCCAAGATTGAAAATAAAGGGTGGTCGCTCAAGCAGTTTTTTAGTCACTCGAGCTAACCTCCAATGTCTGTAAAAGTATTGGGAGCCTGAAATGTGCGCTCGAGTGACAATTCCATCGCTCGAGCGAACTACTCAAATTCTGGAATTTTCAGAATTATGTTTGAAATTCAAACTTGCAATTCAAAGGTTCAAGACTTGCATGATTGGTCTAAAATCATGGAAAAAAAAACATTGTATAATAAGAAAAAAATTTCACTTTGAGACGAATTACTCAAACTTCATGAATTTGACAAAATGAAACTCTCAACTTTCATACATATGTGAATCTAGCTTGAACTCTTGTTCTATCATCTTCAAAACATGGAATTGAGTTTCATAACCTTATGATTCATGAATGCATGTACCAAATAATTCCCAATTCGACATGATTATCACGGTTTATGTTCGAATATGAAAAATCATAACAAATTTATAAATGCATGCACATTTTGATCACATTCTCACCATATTCAACTCAATTTCTGCATTTACCTACCTACTCTTCTTGAATTTACAATTACTTGAATTAAACTCATGAATTAAGGATCAATTACTCACTTGGAGCCTTTAATTCTTTCAACTCTAGCAAGTTCTTGAGCCTAGCTTCACTATTCTTTAACTTCTTGAGCAAAATCTTCAAGTTCTGCTCCTATCTCCTTTGAAGTCTCACCTCCCTCTCTGTTTTGTAGATAAACTCAGCAAGTTTGAAGAGAAGAGCTCAATTATATGAGCCTAAACACTAATTAGTCATATATATAGTAGGTGATTAGCTTAGGTTAATTAAGTTTGATTTAGGCTAATCAATTATACTAAATTCTAATCAATTTAATCTAGTTATTTTGATTCGAATCAATTTTTAATCAAATTTCACCATAGGCTCTAAAAATTATGCTGATCACAATGGTACAGTCAATTTTGGTTACTGTCGCCTCTCCGACCCTCAATTTCAAT